TTCGCTACGAAAATGGCGGGTTCTAAGGGTTAGGTAATCATGACGTTGCGATCCCAATCAAAAACGATGCACGTCGATCTAGAATGTTGGCGAAGGAGCACCATTCACCGGGAGGGAATGCACGTGTGCTACCGACATTCGTTCTTCTGGTTTGAGACAACGCAAGAGCAGACGTCATTTTTCATTTTGACCGAGCCTATCCCCATGGGCATTCCTTCGGTGACGATCCAGCTGCCGTCGGCGGCCACGTCGTGGGCCAACGACCTCGGCCATGATCTTAATCAGCTTGGCGCCACGCTCACCAAGACCGCCCACGAGCTCTGCAGTAGCCTTCACGTGACCGACCTCGTCTCGTCGCTCCAATCCGCGCTGACCATCGACAACCACGCCAACCGCGTTTCCTTGCCGCCCCGCAAACAACGACATTGCCACGCTCACTCAAGCGCTTGCCACGTCACCGGCCGAGCAAGCCGCGTTGCTCGAGTACCGCGGATCCAACGGCCGGACACCGTTGCTAGTCGCTGCGGCCAAAGACCACGTGGCCTGCGTCGAGATCTTGCTCCAGCACGGCGCCAATGTCATGGCAAGCGACAATAGCGGCAACAACGCACTGCACTACGCGTGCTTTCAAGGCGCAGTGAACGCCGCGCGCTTCCTCCTCTCGCCGGCCGTCGGTCTCTCGCCCTTCTCGCTCAACACGCATGGCTTGGCGCCCACGGAGATGGTGCGCGCCAGCCTCGCCCAAGGCGAGCACGTCGCGGCGTCGGGCGCGATTCAGCAGCTCTTGGCATCGCAGACGCGCCTCTTCATGGGCTATGTCTACGAGAGTGTCGAGAACGCCGCGTCGGCCGTCTCGGGGCTGCGCGCGCTGCGGTCCTGGACCCGGCGCTGGGCCATCGTCTCGCGCGTGGGGTCGCATACGTACCTCGAGGTCGCTTTCTACCATGTCCAGGCCATGGACCCGTCGCGCCACCCGCCGAGGTAGACACTCGTACCAATCGTATGCACTACTCTCTGACCTCATGTCTTGTGGTCTAGCTCAATTTTCATGCTCAATGCCACGGCCCCTGTGCAGCTGGCAACATCGGACAAGTGGTTCAACGACAAGCCGTTTGCGCTCCTCGTGCGAGGCGCGCGCCTCAAGGGCCCGGGGGTCGTTGGCAGCGAAGAAATGCTCGAGCTCGCTGCGCTCGACGCACCCTCGTTTGCTGCGTGGTCAGCCTTTCTCGCACAAGGCGCGGTATGAACGACAGCAGCTTGTGATCCAGAGCTCATGGATTCGTGGAGTAGACGGCGCCAGCAGCGGTCACCGTGCGAGACGACGCCAAGCAGGTCGACACACCGGCGGCAGAGCGATCAGTCGACATCCCAGCCGCCCGCGACTTCAACGAAGCTCCAATCGCTCAGGCCCTGACGGAAGCTCCAGTCGCCCTGACAGAAGCTCTCGTCGTCTTGGAGTCTGATGTTGCGTCTGCCCCGTCGGCACCGTCGATGGAAGACGGTCGATCACGGGCCCAGTGCATTTTGTGCGATAATGGATCGCAGAACGCCGTCTGCGTACCCTGCGGCCATGCGGCACTGTGCATGGGCTGCGCCGTCGAGCTCCAAGCCGCAGTCTGCTTTGTCTGCAACGTCCCCATTCGAGAAGTGGTCGAGCTCTTCCACCCCTAGTTGCTTTCTTTGAAAACGACGTGTCTTTGTACGTGGCACTCTCTGTTGCATCGTTGCTGACCACAATGCGCATTGTGTCTGTTGAGCCTTTTGAACAAGTGTCCACCAGCTAAAACGACTCGGATACTGGAACCATTGCCACGCCTTTCATTTCTACACAAACGTATTCGAGCGTTGACGGTGCTATCAAGGATCAAAGAGTTGCTCTTGAAAGCATCGCGTTGGGCTCATCGATGCACAAAGTCGTCGGCGTGGATAGGGGATGTACTGTGCACAAGGAGGCGCTTGAGCTGCGGACATTGGAGCTGAAGACCGCGCGCTGTCAGGCGTGACGCCCCCGTGAGGTTGAGCTTCACAAGGGCGGGGCAGTCGAGTGCGACCGACTGCAAGTGTAGCATCACGCACGCCTCCAGCCTTCGAAGGCAAGACGAGCGCACGGCCAAGTGCGTTAGCTGCATCGAGCCTTCGGTCTCCAGTCGCTGGAGCTGTGGAGTGTGGACCTACGAGCACACTACGTGACGACTTGGAGAAAGGGCGGGATACCGTACATCGACAACGAGGAGCACATGACACCGAGAAAGGTCCAAGCCCTGCAACGACGGATGCTCGGACGCTAGCACAAAGCGGCTGAGCATGCCGCACTCGGCAAACGAAGCGTGCGTCAGCGACGGCAGTGCGTGGACAAGCGCGTCAGCTTGCTGGAACGTAGCGGACGCGGTGACGGTCAGGTGCGTCACGACCACGTTGTCGCCGCTAATCTGGAGCTGCTTGAGGTTCATGTTGCGCTCAAAGCGCACATGGGACAGCGAGCGTGGCGCGAAAATATGCACGTGGGCGAGCAAGTGGCAGCTCACAACAGTCAAGGATGTGAGCTGCGACGCACCGCGTGTGATGGCGGCGACGTGGCCGTCTTGGAGAAAGGCGACGTCCGAAAGATCGAGGTCGCGGAGGTGCGCAAACGTAGCTAGCGCGTGCAAGCTGTCTGTGGGCAGGTAGCACTGCGTCAGGCGCAGCTGCCGTGCGCCGCGGAAGAAGCGTGCGACGTGGGCGAGGCTGGTGTTCATCGGCGTGGCCTGCACGAGGCTGATGGCATCGACGTGCTGGGCAGCGAAGCGGAAGCCACGACTTGTGCTTGATGCACGGAGGATCTCGCGCGGGCTTAAGAAGCTCAGGACCTGCCGGCGCAGCGCCTCAATGTTGTGCCAGCATAGCACATGCTCTTCGGCCATGGTCGCGCTTTGGAGTTTGACAGCGTATCCGGACAATCCTACCCAACCGGATGCCAGCATCGTGAAACGGCAAAGTCGCGCCTACCATCTCGAACAGCAACATCGTCGAGCTCCGCAACCGCGGCTCGCGAGGTATCCATCTGCATTAAGCGCCGAGGCTTGTGGTCTTCCATGCTGTCGCCAGAGCCATTGAATGGTGGACAGACCATCGTTGCCTTTACCAATGCATATGCGCAAGGAGGGTTGCTCCAGATTAAGAAGGATAGGTGTACGCCATCGTGTCATTTGCTGTCAATCCTTCCAGGCTCGTCGTCGTTGGGCAGCTCGTTTGGCAGCATGGACTCTGGCAAAACAGTTGACATGAAAAAGGTGGAGAAGGTCAAAACTTGGGCTTTCTAAGCCAGCAAGGTTCGCGTCTCTGCCACAACCGCACGGACGCTGTCACTGGATTTATAGAGGCAATTCAACATGAGTCGCCCACTGGAAACAACATCGTCCTAACATCGCCACGACCTTGGAGATCGGCAAACGACTAGTGATCGCGTGCTGTGCTGTCCCCGGCCGATGCATTTCGCCACGACCGCGCCACAGACACACCAAGAATCTACCAAGCCTTGTTGTTGGAGCGAGCGCCTTTACGACAGCTTCACGACGCCGCGCGAGTCCATCCATCGCCTCAACCTCCTCTTCTACAGAGCGCGACATCGTAGTACATGTGCCTCTACCCGAATACTACAATAGGGTTAGGACTAGTCACAACCACGGTGCCGCCGTCGCCTTGCTCTTGGCTGGAAGGTTCGGCAACGTACGTAGCGCCGCCTTTCGAGCAAAACAGCTGGCGCCAAGTTTTAACGCGTCGGCTGCAACTTGAGCGCAATGAAAGAGCCGATGGAGACCGCGAGCACGTGCGGAAGCACCTCTCGAGAAGCAAGGCCTCAAAGACGATGTCGCACGGCTTCAAGCGACCGTCGACAAGCTCACGTCGATGCGTCTGCTCCACTGGCGCAACGTCGCGATGGCCTTGCGCGCTGAGTCGAACCGCGGGGTGTCCCACCAACAACATCTCCACGCCTCGCTGCAGCGACAAGAGCTCGTCGCTCAGGCTCTCTGGTCATACTGTCTCTCGATGCAACTGGCGGTGCGCCTTCTACCACAATACACTTGTATTAGTACGACGACACGCTCACATCCCGTTGTAGCGTTGGCCGTTGCCGACAACGACCTCCTGGCGCCACGCCAGCGTGCTCGGAACGACTCCATCGGCACGCCGACGAGGCTTTGAGTGGCTTCTGCAGCACATGCGATGCAACTTGGACCGTGCCTTTGATGACGTCTTTGCACCGGGTGACGCGGGGCCGGGCCTGCGCCTGCACATGGCGCCCGTGGGTGCTCTTGGTGCACACCTTGTAGTTCAGAAACACCGCGTCGACCCGTACCTACTGGAGACCGTCTTTCGGTCCTTTGACAATCAACACTTGGAGCAAACGGTAGTACCTTGCGCGGTGCATATGATGGAAAAAATGTGGGTGCAGAGGCTCGAAGACGTGGTCCCAAACCTGCGCAATGTCCGTTTTCAGTATGGCAGCACGCCACAAAACATTGCGATCCAGTATACTCGCGAGCACGGACGCATCTTGGCGCTCTCGCGCGGCATCGAGCACGACGATCTCGTGCCCACAGGTCCACTGAAGCTAACGTGGATGGACTGGTAGCACTGCGAAATGAGATGCAATGTCGTCTTGAATGACGCAACGACAAGTGTAGCATTGTCTTATCACGGATAAACAAAAAACGCAGCGCTGATTCAAGAGGTCGACGAGTCGACGAGCTGGTACGCGGGCGACGGCGATTTTCTGCCGCTGGAGACGACGTCGCCATGGTACTTACAAGCAGTGCGGTCGCTTCCAGCGTCGGCGTCCCGACACGATCTCTATGAGCGCTATCGGCTCCTCTACCACACGTACCTCAATGGGGCGTATCCGAATAGCGAGGTGGCTGGCTGTCGGGAGTGGTGCCGCAACCATTAGCGCCATCCTTGGGTGCAGTCTGGTGGTTGGGCAGATACGCTGAACAGATCCACCAAGCGGCGACCCAGCGTGGTCAGTACTAGATAGCGACGTTCGTCGCCGACCGTGTTGATCGTGAAGCAGTGTGTCGAGTTTGCCGAAACATCGATTTGGCCGCCATGTATTTGGCCTAAACGTACCTATTTGGCTCTTTTCTAAACAGGCGGCTCAATGAAACCAGTGACTTTTCGGAAGAGCCAAGCATTGTTCTTTCCGATCTCTGCCAAGCTACCCGCCACACCTCACCCGAGGTGTAGTGAGTGGTTCATGCAGGACTCGCGCCCTCTTTATCTCACCGAACAAGCCATGAGAAACCAAACAAGGCGGAGCGTTCACTACGGTACATGTATGCCGAACGAGAACATCAAAATACATTGATGTTGAAGATATGTGTCCTCCTACCATATGCCAACACAATGAGATTTCACGAGCTATAAGGCCCCGACGGGACAACCGAATTTAAATTGGCGCGAATAGAATTCCGGTAGAAGGAGTTCCGGAGTCATACGCGTGCTTCAAGTTTACGCCGCGCGCCGTTTACAGTATAACCGACACATGCGATGCTTCCGAGAATCAAGGGTACATGAATGTTTTAATCCACTCTTATGAGAATGGACTGGCTCATTCCACCTTCAAGCACGGTGGCAATATTTTGTGGCTGTTCTTTAAAAATCGTGTAAGGGTGTAAGGGTGTGAGGGTTACTGGAGTGGACATAGATATCTGGAGCAAACATATCTTCCCCTTGAGCAAGCTAGAGAGCAGAATCAGACGACAGCTTGACGGTCCATGGGAGACACTACACACCACTCGCAAGACACCTGGCGCACGAGAGAGATTTTTTAGGCATGCACAAAAACAAGCCACGATCTCCGATTCACGGTCCCTTTAAACTATTTGCCTTCAAACTGGATAAGCACGATTTTCGTCAAAGATACCGACTATCACGGCTTGGCCAATCACACGACCGGTCGCGGTCGGTGTAGCCAATCAAACTTCACGAAAATGCTGTCGACCGCGCAGCAAACTTCGTAATACCGGTAGACTTGCAAACCCTCCATCGTTGATCGCTGGGAGGCACCACTGGATATTGCTGCAGCGCATCAACCAGAGCAATCGTAGAGAGGATGTCCTGTGGATGATTGGCTTTTTTGCATGGCACAGAAACGTTTGGGGTCGCCATATGCTCGTGACACGTATGACTTGGCATCAAGACTGGGGAGAGCGCGTCAAAACACATGTCGTTTGGCTCAGACGGGGATGCTGGGTGGCGTGTGAGCGTTGCGCCTCCAATCAGCGCTGACCATGGCACGGCATCACGGCAGTGCGACCATTCTTTGATTGGTTAGCTACTACTTCAAGACGGAGCCGTCAGCGCGGTGGGTCATTTTTCATTTCGTGTTTGACTACAGCCATGTGGACCCCACCTTTGTCGTTTCGCCAAGGCATGTACGACCTCCAAGTCAACGCCGATCCGACGCTGCGTCCTGTGCAGGAGAAGCGCCAGCGACACCGCGAGGCCCAGCGTCGGTACCGGTACCTCATCGCGCTCGAAGCGAGCGCACTCGACGACGAAATCCCGCTCCTGGAGCAGCGCCTGGCTCAGCTGCAATGTCAACAAACACAGAAAGCGCGTGCTACCTCGCACGTTGCGTGGAAAGACATTGCACTTGCGCTCGAGGAAGAGGCTTTGGCAAGTCAAGAGGTTCAACGGGCTCTACGGCAGCAAGTCGCCGAAGCCGAAACCCGCGCGTCTTTGCTCGCTGCGTGGGTACAGCGCGTGACAGCGCCGGTAGGATCATTAGATGGCTCTGCTATCTAGTTGAGTACTGACGCACTTCATGTGGATAGCAGTCGTCGCCGAGTCGCCCTTTGGCGGGCCTGTTGGACGAACCCGTGAGCCGCACGACTAGCGCTGTCTGGATCATGGACCAGCTCCACCAGCGATTTCCACAGCTCTACGCGCAGGCACCGTTCCCGCGTGACGTTACGAGCTCGCCATTCGTGCGCGTCTGCGTCTCGGAGCTTGAAAACACGCACTGTACTGCCGTGCACCAGCAATACGTGGTGCCGTCTCCGTTGCACGCCGTGCGGACGGCATGCGAGAACACAGCGGCCACCGAGGTTTGAAGTCACTGCCTTCTACGAGTCTCTGGATATGGCATGTAGAAGATGGAATGTCTTGGCGACGACATTGTCTACTGTCGCGACACGAATGCCACACACAACCTGCTCATTCGAACGATTCAAGAGCCTAGCATGTTCCTCCGGCTTGTCCAAGGAATCGAGGACGACCCCAAGCAGCCGCTACAAGGGTACACGCGTAGCTGGACGAGCTGGACCATGGGCACAGCGTTGAGCGATGGCACGACGCTGCTGCAAAAAGGCTACGACTACTCTGGGTACCGAGTCCACGGCGCGTTCGCGCCACTGGAAGACGTTGAGCCCGTGGTTCAAGCGCTCGTGGCCAACAATGTGCCGCGCACCGAATGGCGCGCTGCGTGCGAAGCCGCGTATCAAACGTACTATGAGATTGAAATGCACAACGATATCGCCGTCTTGATCGACACGATTGCGCGCCTCGGAACGAGCGCGACATGAGGTCCCTTTCAATTTCGTATGGTAAATTATAGCAACGATATATATGAACGTGTTTCGCGTTATCTTCGTTGTTACAACAATATAACATAACATCTATAGTAGAAAATACACGTTCGAGAGCGTGACGCGTCGGTGCGCGGTGCTCTCCCGGGGATGTACCGGCATAGTACTTATTGTGCGAATGTAGCATCGCATCGCAGATGCCCTTTCGATGAATAAAAGTGCAACTGCCATGAGGACGGTTCCAGTAGCCTGCATTCATGTCAGCGTGACATACCCACGTCGGCAGCGTAGCGGTCACCACGCGGTCACAGTCGAAGAAACACAAGACGGGGCTCTCGTTCATGACGTCACCGAGAATGTAATCGTTGACGTTCTTGGGCGCGAGATGCACAAGGCGCTCCACGAGGTACGTCCCGTAGCTAGTTTAATAGCGCCGTCGACGTAGACATCGTCCGTGGCGAGCTGCTGGATGATGGTGTTTATGTTCCTCTTCCACAAGCCTCAAATGCAAATGGAAATATAGAGTTGGAAAGGATACTAGTATGGCACATTTTGCATTTTCTTGTGTGGACAATAAAATGAGTAGTTGATTGAATGGACAACTTAGACCTGGGCGACCGTGGCGTCGTCCGAGGCAGACTCCTCCTTCGCACCATCTTCCTTGGCGTCCTTGACTTCTGACTCGACCGCCGCCGTACTGTCCTTGGCCAGTGCGCGCTGCTGCTTCTTGACGTACAGAGCCATGCCCATGACGGCAAGCACGCACGCGACCAAGCCGCCGGTGAGCGCAATCATCTCGGTGCTGTGCTTGGCGTCTGCCTTGGCGATTTCGCTCTGCACGGCCGCCCGCACACGGCGCTCTTCATCGCCAAAGAGGTCGGTCGTGTTGCCAAAGAGCTCGAGGGCCTTGGCCTCGTCGTGGATGAGTGTGAAATCGAGGGGCTGGACGTTTTCCATACAGTCGGTCTTGATGGCCTTGAGGTTGCCGCCCGACTGGAGGTACATGTTGAGGATGTCCATGCCGCAGTTCTTGGTCGGGTCCTACAGCCATACACAATGAGTACATCGATATAAAAAGCGTGGCTCTCTACCTTGGGGTCGGTGTTGGTCGTGGAGATGATGCTGTGGCCGCCAAACGGGAACTGCAAAAGGAGCTTCTTGTCACCGGCCATGGACGCATTCTGGGCCACGGCATACTTGGGGATCGTCTGGACGTCAATGCCGCCCGAGAGCAAGAGGGCACTCGCGCCGACCGGAACCGCCGCCGTCTTGTTCCAGTACTGGTCATGGGCGTATGCAAACGACTCGGAGCCCGCTGCGATTTCAAACTGCTTGCACACGGCGTCCTTGCCGCCCGTGTAGAGGCAGTACTTGCCGACCTTGAGAAGCGTCGAGATCTTGTCGCTGCTTCGCCACGTGAGCTTGGACGAGTCCTTCTCGAGGCGCTCGACCGACGGCGACGGCGACTCCCAGATCTCGTTGAAGACAATGTTGCTGTAGAGAATGTCGTCGCTAACCGACTCGCCCGTCTCAGCGTCGCCGGGGACAATGTCATCGCGCCCTTCCGTCTCGTCGGCCTCCGAGGCAAGGCCGAGAAGACCGGTCAGGAACGTAGCTTCGCTCTCGACGTCGACAACGCACTTGGCGAGGCGGTAGAGAATCGCAGGAATCAAGTTGCGCTGGTTGTAGTTGGTCAACATGCCGGCAAGCGTCGATCCCACAAAATCGGACGGAGTTCCCTTGGCCGCATAAATCGTTTGGGCACACGCCGTGTCGTTCGCGTCGAGCTTTTGTACAAGTCAAATGCGAATTGCTTGGAATTGGGGCCAATCTTGGACGCGCACACTGGGTCCTTGTCGCAGAAATGATAGTACTCCTTTTCTACAACCGAAAAAAACGCATGAGTCCCTTGGGTAGAAGAGGGGTAGGGTCCACGTACCAACGTGCGCAACGTCGCGGTCCCAGTCGCTGTACGTGCTCAACGGGCTCTCAGCCAGCATACTGTCGAGGATGTAGCCCTTGACGTTCTTGGGCGCGAGGTGCATGAGGCGCTCGGTGAGGTACGTGCCGTAGCTCACGCCGTAGACGAAGACGTCCGAGGCCGCGAGGAGTGGGCTCTGGATGATTGTCGCAAGGTCCGTGGCCGCGCTCGTGACCGAGAAGCCCTTGGCAGCGTTGGGCCCTACAAAGGGATGAGTCACATCATATTCGCATGGAGACGTCGTGTTGGTCGTACCGTACTTGGCCTTGAGCTTCTTGAAGCACTTGGTGTGCGCCACGTCAAGCGTCTCGATCTCGGCCATTGCCACATCAGGGCAGATGGCCGACAAGGGCGAGCTGCGCCCGACGCCGCGGTGGTCCATCGTGTACAGGCTAATGGTGCCGTTGGCGGCTTCGTAGATCTGCGCCATGGACGGCTCCACTAGAGTAGTCGAGAGTGTGAAATCGCAGAAATATGCCAAAAAACGTACTCGCATCGGACGCTGCACCGGGACCGCCTTGCATGAGCCACACGGCCTTGGCCGGCGTCGTCGGGTGCGTGGCAGGGATGCGCTTGAGAAAGAGCGTCAGCGTCTTGGAGCCTTCGCACACGCCGGGGTAGCAGACCGGGGCCGACATTTCAATGCACTCGGCCGTAAAGTTGTACGACGCTTCGTACTGCTTGTGTTCGGCCGCGGTGCCCACGTCCGAGTAGAGTGGGCACGGGTGCCACTCGTTGGGCGACGTCGCGGCGGCGAGCGCAAGAGCGGGGGCAAAGAGACCAGGGCGCATTTTGAAAAGTGAATAGTACACAACAAGAGCACGAACGACGGCCACGATCGCTGCCAGCGACGAGCCATCTGGCGGCAGCAGATGGTTGTCATTTGCCATTGCGCAAGGATGTGGTACGCAAGGTTCTGCAGGCGATCGTACGAACCCACAGCGTCAAGAATGCATGACACGGCAAACATCAAGTACCGTCGATTCCAGCTAATGCGCTTTCTGTCCTCTATTCTGCGGCAGGTCCATGCTCTTCCCAGTATTTTATCGAGCGTGCGAGGCGCTGAGCGTACGGACAGAGCTCACAGCGGGTGCCGACGGTCGCAGCAGATGTCAGCGTGGTGTCGCACATGCCCCGCAGGCTCTTTTATCGAAAGATTTCACAACTGAAGCGCTTTGCTTGCGGACGTGACGCGTCGACTCGCATCTACCCCCATGTCATTTCAAAAACGCTAATGACATGCGCCGAGACGCACGCAGCAGGATGAAACGCTTGGACGTTTCATGATGTAGTCCTCTTCGTTGACGGTGGCTGTGAACGACTGTGGAAATCAAGGGAATTATTCCCTTGGTGGAAATGTAGAAGCTTACGCCAGAGGAAGCTGGGGCACTGAATATGCGTCCCGATGCAAACAGCTGTCACGACCCGACGGCAGTGGGTGCACCACGGCTGCTATGCCGCCAACATGCAGTGTGTTCGACGAGGGCACATGAGTAGGTAGAACGAGCGGCTCGCCAAAGTCCGCAAGCAAGATGCGCCTCCATTGGAGGCGCATCTTGCTTGGAGGCCCTCCAAGCACGGGCATGATAAGACCGCCGGGCTATTAGTTCAATACAGAAACCTGTGGCCATGCCTCCAGAAGTCCGTATGCGCACGCCGTCGTTATCATCGCGGCCAGCACCGCGGCAGTCCAAGGATGGCGTTGGCGACACGGATGATGATGGAGTGGTTCGAGATAAAACCTGTGATACATATTATTCGTATCTTCCAATACCCTCCAAACGTGATATTGCTGTTTCGTCATGACCGGGCTGTACCCGCGTAGCCTTAAGTCGCTGGCCGCAGCCTCGGACACACCACCGTTCACCATCCTCCAGTTCAATGTGCTCGCCGATGGGTTGAGCGGCCTCCGCGACGACCACGGCGGCTTTACACTCGCACCGCCGGGGTCCTTGGCGTGGGCCCATCGCCGGCAGCCGTACGTCCTTTCTACTCAAGCCCGCAACTCTCATGGTACCATCTTGCGTGTAGTCTTCTCGATGAGATTCTGCGCTTTGCGCCCGACGTTGTGTGCTTGGAAGAAGTCGATCACTTTCACGATTGGTTCGAGCCGCAGCTCGCCGCGCATGGCTACACAGGCCTCTTTGCGCCCAAGCCCGACTCGCCATGTCTGCAAGTCAGCGACCAGCGCGATGGCTGCGCCGTGTTGTCAACGCTCGTTTCGCGTCCTGCGCCACGACGTGCTCTCGTATGCGTG